TCTTTTTAGAAGGTGATCCGTTTTGTCACGCAGATGGTTTTTTTAGTTATGCCAGACGTTATGTCCACGAGTACCAGTGGTGTATGTTGGGTGTGATAATACAGAACGAGGCAGATAAAACCCATGTGTCTTTCATTATAAACTAACACCTGTGAAACTCACCGCTGCGTATCTAGGCCGTGCTGGTCTTGTCCAATTAATAATGCCGGTGGCCTAGACAGCCGCAAGGTTCACGGAATTACGAAGCAGTGCAGTCAGTGGAATTCAGGATAGTTCAAAAGCCTAGAAGGTAATACATGTTAATATGGGTCGGATTGGTTCTGACGGCCTGTCAGGGGGTCATAAGTACAAAATGCACGACAGTGCCATTCATGGAAACGATAAATTTCTCTCCCAGTCATCACTTGGACTGTTTTGCAGGCGACTTTAATAATGCCCTTACTACATCATTATAGCTGTCAGCAATACCAATCTTCGAGCAGGACAGCCATTGCAAACTGAAGTTCTGCTTCCAGTAAATACAGTGAGTGACCGATCTCATGTGATGTTGGCCGAAATTCTGAAATTCGTCTTCCCTTAGGAAGATTTCGTAGGTGGGGGCGTAATACTGATCGCCTTGTGGCATAGTCCTATAATATTTCGGACACGGCAGGATATCGCCTTTGAATGCACCTCTTTTCAATCTTCTATAAAAACCGTACTCGGTAAAAAATGACTGCTTAATTAGCATGCATTTTTCACATTGATTTTCGATGGTCTTATAAATTTATATATATTTTATAAAAACACAGACAAAAATATGCTTTCTATCACTGGTTTGATAGAGAATCACGTCATCTTCATAGTTTATACTCGAAGAAGGAGTATAATTAGGTTTTAAGAAAGTTTTTTAATTCCCGAATAATTTGGAGCCCGATCATTAGTTGCATTAGCGCTTAGTGAATAAATTGTACAAGGTTGATGCTTTCCGTGTGAGGAAAATCATATATTCTTCGATGCCTTTAAAAAGATACCATTGGTAGTTCATAGAATCGTGCAATGGATGCGGACTATGTTGTACACATCATGAGAAGCAATGGTAAAGGGACAGATGCGGTGCTGTATGAATGGACATTGTACGGTCTAAAGAAATTTCATAATTAGAAACCATTTAGGACCCAATTATACTTATTCTTAGAGTAAACAAATATGAAGATGACGTGATTCTCTACCAAACGACTGATAGCAAGTATGTTTTCGTCCATTTTTTTCATAAAATGTATTCGAATATACAAGGCCATTGAAAATAAATGTGGAACCTGCATGCTACTTAAGTAGTCATTTTTTACCGAGTGCGGTTTTTATAGAAAATTGAAAAGAAGTGCTTCCAAAAGCCGACCTCCTGCTGAGTCCAAAAAATTATAGGATCATGCTGCAAGATGATCAGTATTACAACCCCACCTAAGTAATCTTTCCTCACCGAAAACATACTTCAGAATTTCGTCAAACATTTCATGAGATCGGTAACTCACTGTAGATAAGTCTTCCTTCTAGACAGCAATTATTGTAGGAGGCATATTGCAAATCAAAGGGCAGGTCTACAGGCTCATATGCCGACTCTGCCCTACCTCCTTCCCGCCTTCTATTTTTGGTCGAATGCTGGCAGTCCTGTCGTCAGAATCGGACCACCATTCTTACCGTCTGGGATATCCCTTCCTCTATGGAGTCCCTCCAACTTTCCCTCCCGGATACCGACGTGGATAGTTCATTTTGCAGCTCCTCACCGATTGCCCCGAATCCATCCGCTCCAACCTCAACACATATGCCCAAACACACGATGCTGTATATCGCATCCCTACCACAGGCCCCCTCTTAGTTCTCCTGTCCCAATTGTCACGCATTTGTACGTCTGGCTGCTGACCAGTGCGAGCCTACGCACGTGCCTCAGATGAGCATATCCCGGACTCAGCCACCCGAACTTCAACGCCTATACTCCTGCGCAGGATTTTGTTCGTCACAGCCGCACTGTCGCCGCTCCTAGGGCTTTCCTCATCCCAGCCATCACACGTTTGCACGTCTGGCTGCCATCCAGGCTGTTTCGGGGCACATGCCTCAGATGGGCCTCGTTTGACGGTTGGGAAGCCTGTCGAAATACGATGGTCGACAATAAGAGGTTTCTCAAGCCAAGAGTCAGAGAGACTGAGTTAAGAAGACAGCCTTTACTACAAAAAGAGAGTGTACAAGAGGTATTAAGTTAGCCTGTGGCAGTTCGCGTCTCCTCGCTCTCCGCCTTTGTCACGCTGCCCTCCTCTCCGCCTCACACTCCTTGTCGATGCGCTGCTGGGATGCGCGAGTGCTCGAAGCCAATCAACGCTGTTCCCACTCTGATTGGCTGGCAGACGTGGAGACATCGAAGGGCGCACACACGCACTAACACAACACCTCGAAGGCGGACACAGACAACAGCTTGCTTGGAGCGCGCTTGCGGCAACTGCCTCCAGAGCCCTTGTGTACGCACTTCCTCAGGCAGTAAAGGTTGTCCAACTCAAACCGTCTTCCTTGACTTTTGATTGGGAATCTTTATTTTGTCGACCACACGACTTTCGACAAGCCAGCATGTCATTGTCCACATGGCGGTGTGTGAAGAGGGTGTGGGTTTGGGGAATAATTAGGTGGGAGGAAGATTGTTCAGATGAGCGGTCTCCTATTTGCTTGCAGGCGTAAGGTTAACTGGTCCTCGAGATACGAATGTCAACAACGTGGGGTTTGCCAAATCAAAGGTCAGTGATTCAGAGTTACGAGGACGGTCCTCGCTTCTACGAGTGGCGTAGGAGCAGCTGAGAGGTTCGCGACGGCAGATGTTTAAGCACACGGAGGTCGAGATGTTGTTTCTGTTGGGTCAGTGTGTGTTGTGAGCGTGCAGTCCGAACCTGTCTGGCCGCGGTCAATCATGAAATACCAGTATATCAGGTCCTACTAAGGGGAGTGCTGAGCTGTACGTGGCACTAGCATTCAGCTAACAAGAGGTTCTCGGTCGCTATTGCCATCTGGAGTGCACGACCACTACATCCTTCCTCCAGACCAGATGGAAGGCTGGCGATTAAAAGACGTCAAAAGATGGATGCGATCTCAGAAGCATGAGTAACCAACGGTTAGGAGGGCTTATAGTTGGTGTTCAGAGCAGTTTTGCTTATCATCACTGGCGCACAGTAGATACTTCAGTTGGCGATGAAAGCGCCTGACCATCACGTCCGCAGTCGGGTGATAAGCAAGGGTACATGTTCAGTGGCAGCTTAAAATGCAAGAGGAGTTTGGAGAAGGTTAGATTCCAAGTGGGATGCATGATCTGTCATAATGGGTGGATGCGGCGCCAGGGTTGGCAACCCAGTGACGGAAGACCGCCTTGACCACAGTCGCTGTCAGAACATTTGGCAGGAGTGAAATAGTTTTGAGTTGAGGGGTGGATTGATTGACGCAGGTAAGAAGGCGAGTGCAGCCATAAGAAGAAGGATGTGAGCTTAGTGTGCAGCTGGATATGACTGAAGTGAGCGTCGTGGGTGGCGACAATACCAGTCGGGGCACTGTTTTGTCGATAGACGTTGCCGCGATTGAAACGGATTCAGGTGTGTGTCCAAGTTGCCACGATCTTCTGTATGTCGGGTCACACGAACCGGTCAATCGCCAGTGTGGTGGTGCTGGTAGTGGTGGCTAGGACCCCAGGTTGGGAGTGATTGCGAGGAAATATGAAGGGCGTATGGCGGAGGAGTCATGACGAGTCGTCCTGTAGTTGGTGACCCAAGACATCGTCATTGTGGATGAACTTGACCCAGCACGGTTCAGTAACCAGTGCAGTGAGGTCAGTGTTATGCATTGGGAAGGATGAGGATTTGAGATGTAGAGGGGGGACACTGTCTTATCTATCGCATTCTGCGCTCTGTCAACCTGACAGATGCCTCAATTCAATTGGCGGATGTAGTCCAGATGACATATCCGCCGTCGATCAAGCTGCTCGGAGTTTGAACATAAGGCCAACATGAGCTACCTATAGTCAGTGAATATAGCGACTTCTCGATGTGCTAGGTGTTTTGACGGTAAAACAGACCGTAAGAAGCTCACATCCGAGGAGTTGTAGCACGCTACAACCAAGGAGACTTCCCGGAGAAGGAGGCCAAGGGTAAGGTTTACTCAGTAGAATATTTACTGAAGCACCACGCCATTAGTAATAGTGGATGCACCGACTAACTGGCAAATGTGTGCGTGAGTCCGGGTGTGAGGGGCATATCACTGCTCAAATGAGGCGTTTGTTTGAGTAAAAGGTAGAAGGAACGCTTGAGATCAGGCTATCTGCTTGTCAGTGGGAGGATGCTGTCAGCACAGGTAGGGGACGCAGTTGAAATGCGTCATTAAGCACTCCACTGCGTCGGCAGATAGAGATCTTATTTATTCACTCAGCTGGACAATTTACCCTAATTGCAGACTTCAGTTTTGGCTAACTCTAAAGCACCGCCTAGAACATTAAGCGAACTCCATTCACTTGACCAACTTGCAGGAATGGCGCCTTATTTTTTAATAATGGAGCACTTTGAATTACGTTAACTGCCCTGGGTTACATCGAAGGTGGCATTTGGAATTCAGGTGTTTAAGATGTGCACATGTTTACAGCAATCCCTATTTGCTATACGAAAATAATAAACAGCGCTTCTGTCTCCCGACATGAACGCCTTTGAATAAAGCACTCAGGTCGCCATCCTGACGGCCAAAATACGTGTACTGAGGTGAGGACCGTTCCACCATCGGCTTGTGCGCTGACTGCGAATTTTGAGGTAGAAGGTGAAGCGGCACCAATGTCTCCATTTTTGGACGTTAATTTCTTCCGGGGGTGTGATAACGCCTCGTGGGCTGGTCGATAGACAACGCCATGCCACCGATCGATGATTCACCACTCATTCGAATTCAATCTGCGCTTGCCTGCCTTCCGCCTCGAACGCGCGAACCTGCTGACAGACGACTGACGGTGAGAAATGGGTCAGCAGTACTCACGACCATCTGTCCAGCTCTTCAAAGTGGGACGCACACGCGGGCGTGGAAAAGCTGTTGTCAGCGCCCAATTCACCAACTCCAATACCAACTCCGTGTATTTGTTTCGTTGTGAGGCCTCGGTGCAGACAGTGGTCCGGCCAATTCGATGGTTGTTTGAACAGCCAGAACACAGTCTGACAGTTGACGTGGCTATTCAAGCGACAAACCCTTCCACTGCCATCTGCCATGACAGTTGGAATGAAGGCAGGACAACAGCGGCCGAGGCCTGCGGGACTGATGAGGCACCGGCGGAGGCAGTCCGCGGCAGACAGCCGCGCACAGACAATGTGTCTGCACTGTTGGATGAAATTATTCAGATTTTAGAGAAAGATGTGAAAGAGAGTAGCGAGATGTGTAGTGATTTGCAACAATACAAGCTTGAGGGCACTGAAGTGAGGCAGCAGTCTCCTGAAATCCTGCTGCCTGCTTCACATTCGGCAACTTTGACAGATGCAGCAGGAGAACGTGAAGTAGAGCAGGACAGTGCGGATGGGCTGTTTGCTAATTATTCCACCTACTCACGTCTGAGCGACAGTCAGGCCAGTTTGAGAGAATTCGAGGAACCTGAGAAGACCATGGAATTGATGGAGGCTTCCAGTGCACAGCCATCGAGGGAAATGCCGGTAGTTCGTGAGAGAGTAGGATGCCCTACACCAAAGTCAGTCGTTTGCAGTGAAGGCAAAGCTAAGTCGGCTGTTCTACCGTATGAGAATAAATTTTGGATTGGTTGTGGTACGGACAATCTGAAGGTCTTCAAGAATCCGAAGGATCGTCGCATAGAGTCAATTGCACGTCTCAGTGGATGCCGCATAAAGTTGAGAGAAAGCAAACGAAGAAATGCACTGGGTCAATGGCAGCAATTGGTTGTTGTTGAATCGCCATCGGAGACGGGTCTGAAGAAATGCACGAATTTATTGGATGAGAAATTTCCTGCTTTCAGAGCCAGCTTGGGTCGAATGAATTGTAAGTTGGACTTCCGGTGAGCACTGTTCATGCTTGCATATGCATGCATATGAGGAGGGTAATGCGAGCTGAGACGCCATCTCTCTGTCATGTCCCGCTCGAGATTTGATTGGCCAGCATCTGACAGCAATGGAAGTGAGCAATTAGTAGATGGATAAGAATAATTCTAAATAGCAAGCGAAATTCGGGTTCTGAGTTACTAATTTGTCTGCAGATTAGAAGGAATAGTCGAGTTTCGTTGGGCAGTAAGTGGAAGTCGATGGCAGACCAAATCAGATTCTGGTGGTCGAGGGAATGAAGGGGGAGAGTGTATTTCCGCAAATTTGTATTGCACTGCATATGAATATACAGTGGATGGGACTTAGGGGTATTCTGAGAGTAAATCAAACTTGTTAAGTCTGTGTCACTTGTGTTAGGATTCACTTGGTGTAATCTAACGGGACACACGTACGAAGAAAGCCTGGTTAACAAAGACTGCACGAAGACTTACTCTTTTCTACGGAACTGCCTGTCGTTTAATTTCCAGACCAAGTTTAGTAGGCTATGCCTGGTTTGCGTCCTTACTGCCTGAGAGGACGGATACAACGCAGGATGTTACGCAGAACTGTTTGAATACTGGTAACGGCCATATGCACCTCGCGAACTCTTTGCGTCTGTTTGTATGTCTGCTGTGCTTAACAATGTAGACCTGCCTCCCACTTTCACTGAATACTTTTCGCTGAAGCGGTCTAGTCGAGATCTTTAGCTCCGTGAACGTCTAGTTTTGAATTGAAAGCTCCGTCCGGTGGACAGGACTGAGTCTGTCGAGTGGCTTGTAGGAAATTTCGTCATTTTTGCCTCAGGGTGAATTCAGGGCATTAGACGATTCCTCCACACAGATCGTGAGTTAGGGATGCACTACGGAATCCGTGTACCCACGGACGTCACCGTTGCCGCCGCTAGTCAGTCGACAAGATGAACAGTCATAATACCGTGAGGTATGCAGTAGATGTTTTGTTGGACGGACTTCAGCACTCGAACATGGAACAGTAATTTATAAGGGATTGACAATGGTCTGGCTTTGAATAGGAAAGCGTGCTGCAAACAGGTTTGTTAACCTGTGAAGACAGCGGAATATTCGCCGAAGATGCATATGCGTAACAAGCGAAAAGGCAAAAAATGTGAACGCTTCGTACAGAAGTAATCCAGTTTTCCGAAATATGACAGACGCATTTGTCTCTTTGGGGGATTAAGATGTTGCTCTAGATTGGCATCATTTGGAGTTTCACAGGAGCCGGGCAAATCTCCATGAAAATTAAATTTCTCTTAGCGATATGTGCATTAGTCTAGCCGCTAAAGCTAGCCTACCCGCCTTCGAAAGTTTAGACCATGTCCACCTATCTGTTTTTGAATGTAGAGTCAGAATACAAAAACTGCGCCAACCATTGACATCAGTGCGTCAGATCTGATCCAGCCAAATCTCGAGTGTGTAGGTAATATTCGGAGTGATTGGCAGTGGGTGCATCCGCATAACTGAGCTTCCATGCATTGCAAGTGAGAGGAGTCGCCGCCAGGAGACCTGCTTCCTGTCGACAACAATCCCTGAGTACGGCTTTGGAGGCAGGAAATTTGTCATGCAACAGCCCAGGCAGTTCCAAAATGCCGACTGAACAATCATCAGTTGCTGTCCGTGGCTCATTCATTAATTCACTCCACCTGCTTTCTATCAGCCTTATGATGCATTCATCAGCAGGCATGATAAATCCCGTGGCAGATCCCTCGGATTATTGAAGGCGTTCAGCTCTCCGCCGGAACACCGGTCAAGATCTCAGCCTCTCTCGGTACAGCAGTCCGTCTAGCCTTGTTTTCCCACAAACGGTGGACCTCGGGTTAGACGCACTTGCTCTCTCATGACCCGCCGGTCTCTCCACTCATCGCTGGTCCGTGGCGGTTTCCATCACTGCAGGTCACCTCTCAACTTCGTCGACTTCTCCCAAACTCACCTCCCTCGCACTAGATGATGTGTAGGTCGAATCATTAGCGAACAGTCCATGCACACTGCTGCACTCTACTTCACGCCCTGCTGATGTATCTGCACAAGTTGCCGAATGTGAAGTGAGCGGCAGGAATTCAGGAGACTTCTGTCTCATTCGAATCTCTTCCAGCTTGCATTGTTGTAAATCACTCACTATCTCCTTATTCTCTTTTTCTCTTTTCTCTAAAATCTGGATAATTTCATCTGCATGCTGCGTTGCCAACGCCTCTTATTACGTGCATCTACTACGAACTCTCGAACAACAGTGATGCTTCCATTTTGATCATCAGTCATATTGCCGTAGGCCATGTATCTGGTCTCTTACAATCTCCTTATTCTTTTCAAAATTTATTCATACACTCGAATAATTTCATCGGCATTCTGTCCTGTCAATGCCTGTACACGATCCATGCTTGCTCCATGTGTTTAATATGAGTTCTAGTTAAGCAGTCAGTCTTTTTTGTCTGGTGTATCATCCGTATTCTTATGGGCCGTATGTTCTGTGTATTTCGAGCTGGCTGGATCCTTACGTAAGTGTTTGTGCCAGTGGATTGTATATTCAAGCAAGGGGGTAATAATAATTTGGGCTGGCTCTCAAATATATTGTATGCGGTAGTTCAAGTAAGGGGAAGAGGAGAAAAACGGGGATGCAACTAGAGTCTTGAGTATTGAGTAACAGAAAACGTAGGGGTGTGGACCAAAGGGCTTCTGCACAGCCGTACCTTGCACAGCAGTTTTGAATCGTTCCAAGCTCACAACCGAAATGCGAGCGTTGTGCTGGATGTGGAACGTTTCCGTCACTCGAGAGACAATCCAGGAAAGGCCGTCATTGGATTCTTCCAAAGGTCATCGTTCTGCGTCACACTGATACAAGAGGTGGGACTTTTCGTCAAGCCACTATTCCAGATAACACTTGGAGGTAATTGGTCTCGGCCTAGCCGGGGAGAGCGTTCACACAAACTGGGAAGATGGTGGAGGTGGTTGATTGGATCCTCCCTTACACAGCGAGGGACTCGGGGGAAAACCTTACCATGGAGTCTGAAAATGGCGCGAAACACCAAGTAGGGGGCAGAGAATTCAAGGCCCGAATGAATGTTAAACAGTACCGCTGAACGGTGCTCGATCCAGTTCTCTGGATACCCTGTGGCGTGTAAGGGGGTATTCGGGTGGCGATGAAACTGCTCGACCATTTCGTTCGGAGTTGGGTCATAGATTTCGGTAAAGCCTGAAAAGGAGGCGAGATCGGAAGGGGTGCGGCTCAGATCGTGCATCGTAGTCAGTAGTTACGGTAAAGTGGCAGCGACGATGGCACTGAGAAATGTCTTGGTCACCGTTCTCGCCTCAACATTCGTCAGTGGAATGTCTTCGGTCAATAGATGAATCGGTCCACACAGTTGAGAAGTTATTGACAGCTATCAAAGAAAAGCGGTGGTATGTAACATCGTCGTGGACGTGGTTTGATCAAGCACTCGGTTAGAAGAAAATGACGACGGAGCTTTGTCGTGTCGACAGATCTTGCTCCGATGAGAGCCGAGGCAGGCCCTTGTCGAAAGTTTTGGTCCATTGTATAAGACAGACCAGGCGAGGCTCTCGGACACCAATTCGACCGTCGCTGAATTCCATGGGTGTGATAGGTCACGCAGGAAGCAGAAGATGCTTCGGTGTACGGATGGTAGCACGACGGACGCTGGGAGGTGGCGGGCACACCACAGCGGATTTTACTGTCAGTTGTAGTCAGATGGAGGTCGTACAGTTAGGGTGTGTAGACGCACATGTCAAAGATGGAACCGGTAAGCCATTTCAGCGAGATCGGTCGCCGATATGATATGCCTATGACCATCTGATGGTCTGGACAGCTTGTCAGCCATCTCATTCTGCAATTCATATACGTGACGGATATCGGATGAAAACTGATACAGTGAGTCAGTTGGGGAATCTCCCTTGCGTTTCGTTTGTCTGGTTGCGACCGTAAATCAAAGGAGAGGGGCCTGCAGCTAGCGAAGATGGCGAAAGCCCTACACTTGAAATAGTGATTAACGGACAAGCAGACGATCTGAAGCTTCTGTCCAGATGTGCTCTGGCGCTACTGTCCAGGAGACGACACTCTGCAAAGAAAGGCTGGGGATTGAGTTTTACCTGCGAGGTATTGTTGAAGAACTGCGCCGACTGCAATGATCTGGACAACGCGTCAGCCATCTCGATCTGCGATTCGTTGATGTGACGGGTATCGGACGAGAACTGAGGCACTGAGTCAATTGGGTAATCTCTCTTGGGATTCGTTTGTCTGATTGCGACTATAAATAAAAGGAGAGGGGTCTGGCGAAAGCCCTTCCCCCATGACCCAGGAACCACTAAAATTGGGAAGGACGATGGAATTCATAAACGACAGCAACATTCGAAGGGAGGGATGGATACCCGTGGAGCCGACTAGGAATCCGAAGTGCTCGCGGAAGGGAGCGTTGAAAGCCTACTCCAGCCCGTGAAGTTTTTGGCCATCCGCCACTATTACGCCGGTCACATTGTCTGATTCGAAGCTCGAGCCATCTCAGGGTTACTCAACTTCATCCCATAGACTCCTCCTGTAGAACAACGTCACCTGATCCCCGATACATTGACTTGCAACCACTCATCTGCCCTCAGTCATTTGCAGGTAATGCCGTGTTGAATGTGAAGTAGTATTTTCGTAGGGAACATTTATAGGAACCGTAGCCCGGTGAGGAATCTGAGGCCTACAATTAGGGTTAAAAGTCATACTGAAATCAGGCAAACATGTACGATTCTGGGGGAAAAAATTAGGCGAACGACACAAGGAGAAGGCTTTTACTCCATACTGAAGGGCCGAAGCGAACCTATGGCGGAGAGTGTGCTTTGGCATTCATCAGGGGTCCGCGCCAACCAGTAAGGGCCAGGCGAATGGTGGGGCCGCTTGAGATTGGGGGCTATGAAAAATCAATAAACGATCGAATGGATTCTCCAGTGCAGCAGTTGTCCGATGCGGTGGTTGGATTAATCAGGAGTCTGAGTTACAATGAGGCCTACAGGTATGGCCCACTCCATAAATACCTGACAAGTAAAAACACCAAAAGCGATGAGATCAGCTACTGTGCCGGAAACACACTGATGGCTTCCACGTGAAGCAGGTCCTTATAATACCCGCTGCATTTTCTGCTCCCAAGCCCATCGCTCTCTGTTGACGAGCATTCGCGCAGTACTTGTGCGACAAAAATTCGTCATTCATGCGGGCCATATACATGCTAGTTCTCCCGCGCAACACGAATCCTTCCTAAAAGAGGGTTTTGGAATTTCTCTATGGGAGTATGCGCCCAAAAGACCGCATTAATAAAATGAAGTCGAAATAGCCTGACCTTCGCACGCTCTTACGCAAGTGAGATATATGCCGTCCATGCCCCGCTGTGTGAAATCTTGGTGCTTGTGTTGAGGAGCCAGGTCGTGCACGTGGCGCGCGCGGCCAAGGTCACTAGATATATCAGCCAACGCGCCAAAGCTCCATACCTGTCAACTGACTGGTTCGAACAATGGCTGGTAATAGGAAGTGAAAGTGAGGTAGACAACTTAGAGCAATTTCATCGCCAACAACAATCTGACGCTTTTGAAACTGTGGCTCGGAAGGCTGTCAACTGATGGACTTCGCAGTCAGCACAGTGTGTGGGGTGAGGGAGTGGTGGTCTAGGAGTCAGGCTGCAATGGCTCCTTCTCAATTTGGACTTTATGACACTCCCAATCTGTGGCATCCTAGCCGGGTGTGGCGGCACGCCTGGGGGCGACTTCGGCCGCGCCAGCCACATGCGTCCTCTCTGACTTCCGGTTTACTTGACTATGTATTGACACCGAGCCCAGGCATGGAAGAGGAAACTAAGGAAGATGCTACGCAAGCCTACGCTATGCGTAAACTGACTTACGCGCAATTCACCTTGCTTGCTTCACATTTATGTGGAGCCCACAGTGCATATTGTCCTCAACTATCGTGTGATTTGGGTGTAGGGGTGTTCAGTTGTGTGTCCACGTGATGGTCGCAGTAGGTCGCCCACTTGCTTGCAGGTGTATGCTACACCTAGAGTCCATTAACTCGCACACAACTTCCACGTGTGGCTCACCGAAGCTGGGCTATGTCTAGCGTCCACACCCAGGTGGCCGCCTCGACCGACGGGCGAAATCAGATGCAAGTGTCCGTGTGTGCCACTCCATTCACGGAAATTCTTTTCCCCTCCTAGCACCACTGGTCACACAAATAATCGCATCGCCATCTCCCGAATGAGCCTTCGTCAGCGACCCCGTAGGAATTCCCGAGGTAAGTCGAATACCGCTTGATGGTGCTTGCCTGCTCACACTTGCATTTCCAACACTCAGCAAGCTATTGACCGGCAGACCGACCCCTTTCCACTTCTTCGCACCTTCCCTTTGTTTCTCACTCTCCATACTATCTACTCTGATATACATTCTTTTTCTGTAGCCCTGCAGGAGTCCACAAATCAAGTGACCACCAGGTAAGCGAATTGCCGTCCTGATGAAGACCGTTGTGTTGGATTTGTCTGCCCACCGTCTACGTTTCAGAAACCAGTTAGTTCGGAGACAGAAGGCAAATTCTGCTTCCCGTCTTCTATCCTTCTTCCCTCCGCCCGTCTCCCCCCTCCTTCAAAATGTCCTATGGAGGGGGCGACATGCAATCACGTAAGCGGCCAAGGTCAAATCGGGTCGTCCTCTCATCAAACAGTTGTGGCCCATAGTAGAGTCCGGCAGCCGTCTGAGATGTCTCAGCAGCCCTATTTAAGGAGAGTACTGCTCACCCCCGCAAGGCGGGGTCCTTCGACACCTTCGTCGTCATTGAACGGGATCAGGTGCTGATGTTCAAAGAACAACTCAACGCCGTCTTCCCGGACATTCAATTTACGATGGAAGAGGAGGAAAACAACAAGCTGGCCTTCCTGGATGTCCTCGTCTGCCGCAAAGATTGTGGTGGCCTAAAAACCAAAATGTTCAGGAAAGCGACAACTACGACGCAAATACTGAACTTCAATAGCAACCACCCGATCAGTCACAAACGCAGTTGCGTAAGGGCGCTACACCGGCGCGTTGAGACGCACTTTAGTGAAATGGAAGACAAGGTTGCTCAATTAAAATATCTTCGACGGGTAATGAGAGCCAATGGTTACCCGCGCAACCTTGTCAACCAGTGCGTACGAAAAGGACACCAGAGACCAAATCCAACCGGCCCCAAATTTTGGCGGGCTCTTCCGTACGCGAAGAACGTCTCGGAAGCCGTCAGTCGTCTTCTCACTCCACTTGGAGTTGGTGTTGCACAAAGGCCGGAAGCAACCATTAGGTACCAAGTCATGAGGCCAAAAGACCCGCTGCCACGGCAGGAAACGTCTGGAGTCGTTTACCGGATCTGGTGTAGTTGCGGACAAAGCAACTATCGGAGAAACTGGGAGATTACTCCGTACGCGAATTGCCGATCATGCAGCAGCAGTGAGGCGGGGAGACGCTAACTCTCAGGTGGCGGCACACTCGACGGGAGCCGGCCATATTTTCAAATCTCAAGAGGCCGAAATTCTCGCAAGGGGTGACAACCGCGTGAGCCGCGAGCTGCTCGAGTCATGGTTCTCAGGCCCGCAATCCATCAACAAGCACACTGACCTCCCGGTACCCTATTCCGTACTGCGATTTTCCCTGGGCAGGAGAATCAGTCACGTGGGGAGGGCGCGGGCGAGCAATCAACACGGTGACAGTGAGCCAGTTTGCCGAGCAATCGTCACACCAGCATGCAGCACGGATGATGAAATCGCGGCAATTAACGACTCGGACTAGGACCGGAAAGCCACCACCGCATCAATTACGATCCCAGCGGTGATCGCGAGAAATGTTAATTGCAGTGCACATACGGTCCCACGGCAGCCACGTGCTATAAATAGTGCACTCCTGGTGCCACCATCACCTTTATCTGCGAATGTCTCTGATGATGGATTCGAGTAAGAATCCGAAACGTCAGGCAAATAAATTTCTTGTTCCAGTGATCGCATCTTCATCTTCTGAACAGAAATCTATCCCATCCCCCCGGTCCTCTCTTCCGCCGCCCCACTCGACAGACTCGCACGGTAAGTCCGCTCACCCTGACAGCCTGAAATGTTCGTTCCCTTTTAGACAATCCGAGGGACAACTGACCGGAACGGACGACGGCGGTAGTGGCTCGGGAATTGGCGCGCTACAAGGTGGACACCACTGCACTCAGCGAGACCTGCTTCTCCGAACAAGGCCAACTGGAGGAGGTAGGTGTCGGCCACACCTTCTTCCGGAGCGGTCGCCCCAAAGCAGAGCGACGGGACGCGGGTGTCGCCTTCTCCATCCGGAACGACATTGTGGGACGACTGCCCTGTCTGCCGCAGGGCCTCAACGATCGACTGATGAGCCTCCGCCTACATCTTCAAGTAGACAAATTTGCCACCATCATCGGTGTATTCGCTCCGCCAACGACCAGCCCAGACGCCGCAAGGGACAAATTCTGCGAGGACCTGCATGACGTCCTGGCGACTGTGCCGAAGGTGGATAAGTTGATTTTCCTTGGTGACTTCAATGCCCGAGTCGGCACAAACCACGCTGTCGGGAAAGGAGGGTTAGGTTTACATGATCCTAACGGCTAAAATGGCAATGGCCTGCTCCATTTACGTCTCATTCTGACGTGAGAGAAGGGCACCTGGATGCATCCTCGATCGCATCAGTGACACCTGCTGGAGTATACCGTCGTCCGGAGGCGGGGCCAGCAGGACATGCTGGTGACAAAGGCGATCCCGGGTGCCGACGGGTGGACCGACTATCGCCTCGTCATCTCAAAGATGCGTATTCGCCTACAGCCTCGCAGGAGACCTCAAGATATGCGACCACCGGGTAAACCGTATGTCGCTTTTTTGTCTTTACCTGCCCACCAATACCCTTCCAACAATGAACTAGCTCAAAGGCTTGGCAAACTTCCAATCGCCGCGGCCGTCAACGAGAACACCTACGTGAAGAATTGATGTCAAGTGAGGGACACGGTTCAGTCAACGGCACCGGCTGTCCTCAGTCGCGTACGTAGCCAACGTCGGACTGGTTCAACGAAAATAACGCCGCCATCAGTAACCTGCTCGTTGAGAAGAATCGCCTGCACAAAGCCTACGTCAAACGCCCCACTGATGACAACAAAGTAGCCTTTCACCGCAGTCGCCGCCTTCTGCAACAGAGGCTGCGGGAAATGCGGGACGCCTGAGCGGCTCGCAAGGCCAAAGAGGTCGAAGGATACGCGGACCGCAACGAATGGAAGAACATCTTCGCCGCGATCAGGGCTGTCTACGGTCCAAAATCCAAAGCTGTCTGCGGTCCGCTGACCAAAGGCACCGCTCCTCTTCTCAGCGCCGACGGAACTACCCTACTCAGTGAGAAGACGCAAATTCTGCAGCGATGGGCCGAGCACTTCGGAGGCGTGCTCAACTGTCCCTCGACCATCTCCGACGCCGCCATCGCCCGTCTACCTCAAGTGGAGACCGAAGCCGACCCCGACTTCGCGCCCTCTTTCCACGAAACCATCAGGGCCGTGCAGCAGCTCTCCAGCGGTAAAGCGCCTGGATTGGACGCGATCACTGCTGAGATCTACAAGCACAGTAGCCCCCAACCTATGGATCACCTCAAAGCGTTCTTCTAGAAGTAGCGTCATAGATAAGTACGTCAGGATTTTAAGGACATCGCAATTTTCCACTCCTACAAGCGGAAAGGAAACAGTCAGCTCTGCAACAACCACCGAGGCATCTCTTTCCTCAACATCGTCGGGAAGATTTTCGTTCGCATCCTTCTCAACCGTCCCTATAAAGATCTGGAACAGGGTTTCCTGCCGGAAAACCCGTGCGGCTTACGCCGTCATCGAGTACCACCGACATTATCGTCGCCGCCCGTCAACTTCAGGGGAAGTACCAGGAGATGCGGACCCATCTCTATTCTACCTTTGTTGATCTGACAAAAGCCTTCGACACGGTGACTCGCGAATGACTGAGGAAAATCATGCGGAAATTCGGCTGTCCCGAACATTTCACTTAGATGGTGCTTCAGCTCAACGATGGCATAACGGCACGCGTCACGAACAATGGACCTGTCTCAGAGGCATTCGCAGTGATCAACGGAGCGAAGCAAGGCTGCGTCCTCGCGCCTACCCTCTTCAGTCTCATGTTCTTTGCCATGCAGATGGACGCCTACCTTGACGAACGCACCGGGATCGGCATCACCTACGAGACCGACGTCCATTCTCTCAACCGCGGACAGATGCATACCTCAACGCGTCTCACCACGACTGTGTTCCACGGCCTGCTCTTCGCGGATGACTGCATGCCCAACATCGTGACAGAAGCAGACATGCAACGGAGCATGAACCTCTTTTCCTGCGGCTATGCCAACTTCGAGCTTACCGTCAGCACGGACAAACGGTGGTCATACATCAACCGTCGTCCAAAGCCGTTTATGATGACCCAAGTGAGGATCATGGACAACTTCACCTATCTAGGCAGCATACGCATGCTGCATCATAATCGGCGACAAAGTGGCCCACCGTATCCCAAAAGCCAGCCAGGCCTTCGGTTGGTTGCAGAACTCCATATGGAATCGCCACGGTCTCCACCTCAACACCAAACTGAAGATGTACAAAGCAGTCATTTTGACTATGCTGCTGTATGGGGCAGAGATCCGTAGTCTAAAATGATAAACCATCAACACTTAACCTCCTCCTACATGCCCACACTGCGAACGAACCCTTTTGCAGGGGGCAGGTCTCACCAGACGTCTCAGTACCCAATGATTAAACAACCTAACAACTACACCTGCTGCCTTCACATACGTCCCCGTTGTCTTCTTGCACCAACTCCCCCCCGGACGACCTCCCTCACAACTAATGGTCGTACTCTTGATGGTCCGTCGCCGTCGATCATCGACACCTTCACCGCCCCTGCCACAATCCCCGCGATGATGGTGACGCCTACCGGTTCTCCTATTTCCGCCACCGGTTAGAAGGCTACCGACGCCTCCCCAACTCCTTCCCTCACTATCACCACTCTAACTCCCAGCGATGAGGACACAGTCCTAACCTGTCCTTGTTGAGATTGTAAAATCACCTCACGCAACGCTCTAGTCTTCATCGGAACGCGACCGGCCCAACAGCGCCAGGAGCTCCAGATACGCTCGCTACATCCACTCCCACTGTCCACGCGCATTCATACACCGCATGGGCCTTTTCGGTAACATGCGTATACAGGACAGCCAAATTCACAACAGAATCGACACATCTGGCACGCATTACAACCCTTCCGTCCCCAGCTCAATTAACTTCCAATCGACCAGCGCGTACACCACTAACAACACCACAACGCCAACCGACTTAAAATCCCCTAACCTATATTTCCTACGTAGCTGCCAAACATGCACATCCCGCACCGGCCTAATGGGTTGCTTGTGAATCTATCGCACAGACTGGCGAACCAGTGTCTGCACCACCAAAAAACACCCACCTCTATCGTTTCAACTACCCGCATTGTCCTCGCATATCCTGCCATTACAAGGACCTACTCGGCCACATGAGCCTCACCAAAAATCTGCGACTAATAAGCGTAGACTTGACCACATCACCAATCCCTTCCTCTTCAACGCATGCACCACATAAGAACACCTAAAATTTCGGCCGTCGTATCTGACGATGCCCACCGTGAGCTCCACAGCACGGTGGGAGCAGAGACTTGCGCGAGTTCGTTTATAGTGATAGTAGACTGACGCAGCATCAGTAGCAGTCCTCCTTCCCTACCTGGGTTCGGTGTCAACACAATCAAGAAGACCGGAGGTGGGAGAGGACGCAGGTGACTGACGCACATAACCAGACACCACAAACAACCTGATGCGCTTGAGGCTATCGCGGTTCGCTCAAAGCCATGGCTTGGAAGGTTGTATACTGACGATCCCAAATAGACCTCACAGTCAGCCCGGTGCGTACTTGTGTGGAGTGGTCGTCTGGTGGGCTAGGAGTCAAGCTGCAATGGCTCCTCCACGGCATTCCCATTCAGTGGGATCCAAGATGATGCGGTGGAGGTACTAAGGCGCGGGTTTTCGCCATATTTACCACCAGCGCCTTCTCCAATCGCAGATCTCTTGACTCTGTCATAACACCAGGCCCAGGTTGGGGAGGATAGATTGGGCTAAGTGCTGCGCAAATCACTGCGCCTGCTACCACCCCGCTATCGAACCCATGACGGACATCGTCGGAAACGACATTCGAACTGCCACTAGTACAAATGTCTTGGACGGCTCCAGCTCGCACGGTGTTGCAATCTAGTGCGCCCGATGAAATTCCTAACAGATCAAAGGCCTGGAAAGTAATAAAAATTAATATAGGTAGGATTTGTTCTGATGGACTCTTAAGTATGGCTAGAAAGTAGTCCCAAGATTTTTATCGAGCTTGACTAAGGCTTAATCAGGCAGAGAAAGTTGGCCTATGTACCATATCCACCGATTGGCAGTGAGATCAGGGTCCATTTGTGAGTCGTAACCTGTTGTCGTGCCTTTTGTACATTTAAACAAGATTTTCGAGAGGTTTGAGTTTATACAAAAATGCGAAGGGAGGATGGAAAATGTACATAGACGTACACACTTCCCCACCAGGAAATTTATTCGGAGAAACGGGCGGTGAAAATTTGTAAAAATTACACTACGAATGAGTACATATACCGAAAAGAGAATGTCGGTCAGCGGGTCAGATGGGAGAAAGTGGTGGACGGACAGAAGCGACTGAAACAGCTTGGTCAAGTGACGGCGAAGAATTAGATTAATCATATGGAATTTTCTCAAAATAGGCTAGTTTAAGCCTGTCAATTGAGACTGTCAGTTTTTCAGCTTTCCGAATGTTACAATGCTTGTTCACCTGTTGCATAATTTAATATGCGTCGTCATATGGGGACGAAGGAGGTTTGTGAGAACCGGAGGGAGAGATTCGAGGCTTTCACACAAAACACAGGTTTGGATACCGGACGAGTATGAATTAAACGCAGTAAGGAGCGCTCGGTTTTTTACTAGTTGGGATAAAACTCCAATGAGGATCAGATTTTTCCCGTCGTTAGCAAACATAAAACTCTCAAGAATTCTATTCATCTGCAATTTGCTTCTGAGGTATGTCCTTCATTTTGTGTCAGCGTACATGTTCCGTATCCGCGGCGGCCCTAGGTACACCTAGCTCCTCACCGATCACATTGTCCCTGTTTCTGTTGAAACATTTCCAAGAAGCAGTAATTGCTATAATGCTGGTCCCAATTTTTCTAGACTGTCAGATCATATCGGTAAATATGGACCAAACCTACAGTCTTAATCGCCCTCCATTGCACAGTATAATGACCTAGTTCGTAAAACTACGTCGAATCTATCTCGTTCTCATGACGGGTCACTCAAGTCGACCCTAGCGGTACAATCGAAAGAGGCAGATAATACCCCTGCTAACACGTGACCCACTCTTACTACTGGGCCATGGTTGGGCTAGGTGTGGCCCTGGCCAAGCCTCATTTACAGGATAATGCAGAAATAATTCCACATTGCACATTAGGCACTGGACCGCTAAGATAAACTGTATTAAGACCATATTACATCAAAATATCGAAATAAAGTAATCCTCATCGTCTAAACGTCGCGTCGTGATGGCAGGTCTGAATCCACTGAATAAAGCTCCTCGTTTGTGTTGTTCAAGCGGAGAGCTCTTTTCTGTTGAGAATGCATCATGCTGGTCATCGGTTGTCGTTCATCTTAACTTCGTCATATCTCTTCTCATGCTGTGATACGCCATGAATTGAATTTTTGATGTGACGCTACTGTATGTGCTTATTATTGCCAGTAGTAAACAATATAAGCATAGGTTACGTGCAAATATGTCTATCTCCCTGGATTACTATAGGGATATCTTGACCTGTTCGTAATTAGAATTCGCAATTTACGGAAGGCATCGGATTTGGAAAGCCCTCTAAAACACTAGCGTGTAAACTTCAATTAAACGATGTCACTGATTATTTTCCCAACCTCGAAGATAACTAGGCCACCCAAATAACAAAGCTTACTCATAATGTAAACAGATTCTCGAAATTATTTACTTTAATTTATAATATAGGTAGCCCCTCATACTATGCTCATTATTCTGAAAGTCTTATTTCTATGCCTCTGTTTTTCCGACATCATGAAGTAGCATACACCTTCACGGATCCTGCCCAAATATCTTTCTCTTCAAATCTGCCATCTCAGTTAATGACAACATCTACAAAGCTTAAGACAAAAGCAACTTTAATTTCTACCCAACAGTTCCAACTGCCAAAACAAATTCTTCATTTTTGAAAAAATCGTAATGTGTATGACCTGAATCACTGGAATACGCTCAGTGTTGTTTATCTCAACGCCAGATCAGGTGTGCAAAAGATAATTGAATTGAGAGCTACCGCCGCCTATATTTGTGGCTTTATTTCTTACAATTTCTATCTTCCTGTGATTAAATTAAGGCTTAATCGTATGTTTGTACTTCCCATTCTCGAGTATTGTTGACCATTCTTTGGTTTGTTGAATGAAGCCAGTCGTTTAAAAATTGAAAATGTCCAAAGACGTTTTTCTAAAAAACTTTTAGATAGGGAACATCCCAATATCTCCTATTCAGATAGATGCCAGCTAATTAACCTAAAAATTTTATGGGTTCGAAGACTAGAAACGGGCTTCTGTCTCCTCTTTCGCATTAATCATAGTTCAAATTTTCCTCGGATTTCAGCACTTACCCCTAGTAGTCGCCCATACAATCTTCGCAATTCGTCTCTAATTATACCTCCTCCAGCTTCCTCCAACTCTAAGCGCTCCCTTTTTTCGCTTCTAGGTATACTTTCCTCTGGAATAACCTTCCATTAAATATAAGATCTTCAGAAAATCTACACACCTTTAAGAGAATGCTACGCCTTTATCTGAATACTGACTCGATTAAACTTTTATTTTCTTCATCCTTCCCAGACAACTTTTTCTATGACACTGATAAAGGGTCACCGGGAATTTAGCATGCCGCTATTAAATTTCCGTATCTGTTCACGTTTCTTTCCTATATGAGTAGTCTCGCTACCTAAGATCCCTCACCAGAGATGTAAATTATTCCAATTTTTCAGTTCATGCATCGTGCCCTCACAGAATGCGCATCATCGATGCTCTTGGCGAATTCTTCTGTATTCGCCATATACTAGTAGTCTGGCCGCATCTTCCTTACCCCATCCTCGGTTGGACTCGGATGAAGGTAACCGACCGCATCCGGGTTCTTGTCGCCTCGGGACTGGTTGTCATCGTGCTCTTACAGAATGCGCTCCATCGGCGATCTTGACAAAGCCTTCTATATTCGCCATATACTAGTAGTCAGTTCAGTTCAGTTCAGTTTATTGAGGGAAATAAGCTTAAGCCTTTGAGTACCCTATTTGCAACGTAAAAAATGTGTGGTGTACAGATAGAGGTTCTGGGCTGAAATAGTTAGAACACGCCCATAATGGTGGGACAAAATGAGAAGGAGTTACAGGGGGTGAGCTCGACTTCTCATCGCTCTTGGTCATTTCGGAACATACATATGTCCAGATTCTTCTTAAAACTTTGTATAGATGGTGACATCACAACATTTGAGGGAAGCTCATTCCATGTTTTGACCACCCGAACCGAGA